AGATGGAAGAGAACGTGCACCTGGCTCGCTCACAGGCGCAGCACCAGCTGGACAGATACGCCATTCAGCAGATGGTAGGGGGCCGCCTGCATCTCCGGGAGAGGCGAGGGCCTCGTCCTGGGTGCTCCCGATGCGTTCGCGCGGCCTGTTGGCGGGGCAGGGGCGCTGACGCATCCTCGTCCCCGGGACAGGTGGAGGACAAGCTCGCCGGGGAGAGGCACTCGTACGAGGAGCGGATGCGCAGGGCCCCCGAGATCCTGGTGCGCCTGCGGTCCCACACTGTGTGGGAGAGGATGTCCGTGAAGCTGTGTTTCACCGTGCAAGGCTTTCCCACCCCTGTGGTGCAATGGTGAGTGCCGTTCCCGGCCCGGGGAGGGCTGTCCTGTTCTCGCCCTCTTAATGATGGTTTTTTAACGTTTATTTTTGAGAGAGAGAGAGAGGGAGAGAGAGAAACCTAGACATGGGGCTCAATCAAACGAACGGTGACATCATGGCGTGAGCCGAAATCAAGAGTCAGACTCTTACCCGCCGAGCCGCCCCGGCGCCTGCACTTTCTTGCAGGGATCTGGAAACGGCTGCCTGAGCCGTGCAGTGGGAGATCCACGCGAAGGAAGCACGTGGCACACGGCCCGTCCCACTGACCACCTTGTGTGAGACTCCGGGAAAGGCCTTTATAAAAACTCGCAGGGCGTCCGTTATAGATACCATGGCAACGTTTTTCATGTCGGTGCAACAGACTCAGCTGAGTTTTCAGAGGGTTTTTATTTCAGAGAGAGTTCCCTCGGGTGGCCTGTGTTTACACGAGTGGCTCTGCTTTTAACTCGGGAAGGCTTCCCGCTGGAGCTGGGCTGTGGTCGACCGGACCTTAGGAGCCAAGACAAGTCTCCAGGCCCCATATGTGCTTGTCTGTTTCCTCACTTGCTGGAAGTGATAACATTCCCGAAGTTTGTAGCTTGCTGCAAAAACTGTAAGCATTTTACTCACACCCTGGATTGGGCCGCTCAGCCCAGATCAGAAAAAAGGAGCCCACGTGCCAGGGAGACGAGGTCCTGCTGTCCTGCATGGGGCAAGGAGGCCAGCTTCCTCGAGTCAGGGTCCAGTGTGGTTTGATCCTGTGGAACTCTCTGGAGAGGCTGGCCCGGAACCCAGCTGACGCTGGCAACATTTCGTTCTCATGGAAGGACTTTTCCTGGATTCCTGACGGAGTCCAAGGGGCCCTGCGGCCCTCGCTGTCATCGGTTGAGGATCGCCCAGACGGGCTGAATCCTGCAAGAGCTGCTCTCCCCCAAACAGACAGGCAGACACGGGCCCTAGATCGTCCCCCCCGGCCACTCCGCTGTGCCCACGGGCCCTGCGTGAAGCTCGCACAGGGGGCCTACGTCCCGAGGGGGCCGTAAAGAAGGCTGGGACAAAATGCAAAGTCCACTCTGCCTTTGCACTAAAATCAGCGTTTCCCTTGTTTAGGTATAAAGACGGCAGTTTGATCTGCCAAGCAGGAGAGCCGGGGAAGTACAGAATCGAGAGCAAGTATGGCGTGCACACCCTGGAGATCAACAGGTAAGGTCTCGGTGGGCCTGGCCACGTGCCCTGGGACACCTGCCCCAAATAGTCAGTGCTGCTCATGCGGGAGAGAAACAGAATTTAAAACCAGGAGGTCGGGTTGCACCCCGTCCCTGTGTGTTCCACGTGCTCTCGGTGGTATTTCCGAGTTAATCTGTGGTAGAAGCTTCCCTTGTTATCCTCGGTGTCGGGCCACAGGGAGGCAAACCCAGTGGTTTTGTCCGGGCCCCTGCTCTGGGAACAGGGCAGGTGGTTTAAGGACAGATGGACACGCTCAGGTGTTAAGGTTATGGTGGGTGCAGAGGATTCCTCCACACCTGTCCGGCCGCGGGGCTGCGTCTCGTACAGGTTTGAGGAGTAGTCCCTCAACCCAGGCTCCTCAAGGAAATACAACTTTTATATTTTTTTCTCAGAAATTGAAAAAAATGTAGGATACAGCTAAGTAAAAGAAAAAAAATCGTATTTCCCACAGCTGGCATCAGTATTTTGCTGGATGGATAGCGTGTCATTTTCCTTACACAACACATACACAGGCATGCACACACACACTATATCCACGTTGACATACGTGATCTAAACAGGTGGTGAGTGTGTGCGTGTAGGACGTCATATCAAGTCCTTTCCAGGAAAAGATAAGGGATCCTAATATAAAGGCAAGAAATCAGTAAGACGTTAGAATATATAACTTTACTGAGTTCACTGTTACCACCCTGTGGAGCCACCATGTCATAATTAGGTTCAGTTTACTTAGAGGTAAAGGAATCCCCAGTAAAATAGCTCCAATGAAATAATTCCCAAGACGACTCGTGGAAGTCACGAGTCAGTACAACGTCACCTTCACCTGGCTGCGTCTTCCAGACGCACTTCTTCCGCCGAGGGGATTCTCTCCTGTTTTGTTGAAAAGCCTTTGTACCTGGGTTCCGTTAAAGAGAAGGTGATTCTGAGGGCGCTCCGTCTGGCGACCAGGGGGTGGGGCCCAGGCCCCTGCCCCAGAAGGGCAGTGGGGTGTGCTCCTCGGAGCGGGCGGGGGCGCGGAGGGACACCACCGCGAAGAAGCGTCAGGGGGCGGGGGTCCTTCCAGACCCACCGGCAGGTTTCGTGCCGAAGGCCGGCCAGGCGATGGGACTCACCTGGGGGGCGGTGAGGAGCCCGGTCCGACACGGAGCTGGGGGCTCCCTGAGCTGACGTAGCGGGCTTCCCGAGCATGAGGACGAGGCCCAAGGTTGAGGTTCGGCGGAGGCCGACCCAGGTTGATCCGGGCGGGAGTCTTTGCCGGCTCCCCTCCACCCAGCGGGAAGTCGGTCTCGCCTCCTTTCTGCACTTTCCTTCGTCGCCCTCGCTGTTTCATCCTCTGCCTCCTGCCCGTTTTCTCCCTCCCTGTTTCCCACTCTGACTTTGGGGAGGAGCCCAGGCGTGAGCCCCCCGGGCACTGGCCACCCAGCACTCAGGACCGCACCGCATGGGGCACCGGCTGGCTGTCGGCCCCAAGCTGTGTGTCCCCCCCCCGACCCCCCCGTCCTCACGCGAGGCCAACTTCCTCGTCAGTCACACGCACCCGGTATGTGCCTCTGGAGGCCCGGAAGGTTCCCCGTCACCAGAACTGTCACTGCACCTACAGATTACTTAGAACAGGTGTTAGAAGATTGTAATGAACATGGAAGCGTCTGACAAGTCGTTACCCTGTTTTGCCAGGTAAATATGAGGCTCTTTCAGGAAGCTGGAGGTTCTGGCCTCATGGGCCTACTGGTGCTGTTTATTGACAACCTACTGTGTACCAGGCACTGGTCCAGATGCTTGGGATACAGGACCAAAGCTGAGGTCCTCATCTCAGGTCTTATGTGCTGGCATAAGGAGGTGAACCGTAAGCGTAATAAAATAGTGAATTATATAGTAAATCAGGAGGCTGTGGTGCTGGGCGTGGGGAATGGGGGTCTCTTGGTGTGGGGGTGGGCTAGGTGGTGGGGTTAAGTGGGGTGGTCAGGCCAGCCCTCCCTGAGAAGACATCTTCTGAACAAGGCTTACAGGAGATGGTGAATGGGATAGATGGGGAGTTGGGCCACGAGGGTGCCAGCCCGAGGCGGCAGCTGCAGCAGAGGCTCCGAGAGGTTGTGTCCCAGCCCCCTCGGGCTGGTCTGGGCTGTGGCCGGCGAGGGACAGGAGGTCAGAGATAGGGCCGGGACGTGAGGGCCACACGGACGCTGTGGGCCGTGGCAAGGACTTTGAGGGGGGCGGTGGAAGATCTGACCCGTGTCTTGAAAGGGTCTAAAGCCTGGCTCTGAGCAGAAGGCAGGGCTGAGTGCTGGTGGCCATGCCGTGGCTGGCGAGAAGGGCGTGGGCTCTACTCGGGTTCTGGAGAGAGAACGACAGGAAGTGTGACAGATCGGAGGCGGGGTGCTCGTGGAAAGGGGGGCCGCCGAGATGAGCAGGCAGAAGGGTCTAGGTGCAAGCACGCACAGAGGGTCGGGGTCTCCTCGCCTGGGGCATTGGAATGCCCTGGCCCCTTGCTGCAATTTTCAGAGAATAGTTCTCTCTCCTTTGGTTTCCACGATTCATGAAACTTTAGTGGACGGAGAGCCACGCTCTGTAGAAGGAGAATGTCCACCCTCATTTGGGGGGTGCATTTGTGCTCAGGGACATCTCTTCTCTGGCCTGGGGTGCGTTGTGGCCGGTGAGGGTTACGAGGGTCAGGCTGACGATCCAGCCAGCTCCCCTCCAGCCACGTGGGAAGGACAGTTTTAAGAGGAAAAACCACTTTCCACTCTCAAGTATGAAACTTTTAAATTTTTAAAAAATGCTTATTTATTTTTTGAAAGAGAGAGAGAGAGAGAGAAAGGGCAGAGAGAGGAGAGAATCCCAAGCAGGCTCCGTGCTGTCAGCATAGAACCCCACGCAGGGCTTGATCCCACGAACCGTGAGATCATGACCTGAGCCGAAATCAAGAGTTGGACGCTCCCCCGACTGAGCCGCCCAGAGGCCCCAAAACGTTTAAATTTATACAGGCTTTGGACCAGACAGACTGATGAATCCTCGAAGGGCCCCGGATGCCGTCATCCACAGTTCGTGAACCCAGATAGGCCTGGGTCGGGACCCTCTGGGCAGAGGCAGTGTGAACCTTCTTCAGACACAGAGTGGAGGTGGGGGGGGCCCCCGCAGCTGCCGCTGGGCTCAGCTGTTCATTCCAGAGTGCTGACCTGCCATCATTTGATCTGTGGCCGTTCCGAGTGGTGGGGAATGTGCTGGCCACGTCTGTTGGGAGGGCAGGGGCGGGAGGAGGGGGGGTTGCGAGCTCTTCCTTCGTGGCCGCAGGAGTGACGTTCACCTCCAGGAATACTCCTTGGCGGCCGTCTGAATTCTTAAAGTGCCGGAAGGGAAGCTTCTGACCCTTTGGTGCCGCTCGAATTCGACGCTGTTTTATACGCTCGTAAGATTTTCTCTGGGGACTCATCGTGCGCGTCCTGTTTCTTCAGGGAATTTTAATGCTGCTCTCATAGTGTAATGAGAGCGTTTAGAGGGATCTGGCTCCTGTTGTCTTTGTAGCACCGCCCCTCCCCCCCCCATGCCTGCTGAGCTCAGCACGGCTGTCCTCCTCTTGCACTTCCTTTAGACTTCCATATGCAAACTCTGATTCGAGTTAAATGGTGAATCCCGCGTAAGGACATTGGGCCAGAGTAGCCAGGGCAGGCCACAGACCACTGAAACATTCGTCTGTCCTCTTTAAACTAGATACGATATCACGAGTCCTTTAAGAGGCAGTTCAGATCAAGACTTTGAGACACAGAAGTGCCCCCGGGAAGTTTGTACAAACGGGGACCAAAGGAAACCCCCTCTGTCTGTTCCGGCAACCTGTCCCAACAGAAAATAAAACCGTTTGCCTCTTAATCACTCGCTTGCAGTTTCTCACAGCGTGAAGGACAGGCCGGAAGCAGGCTCTGCCCCGGGGGATGGGGGTGGCGGAGGATGGGGAGGGGATTGCCCAATGCCACCTCCCGGTGCGGCCTGGGAGAGGAGAGAGAGAATGCAGTCCTGCTGGCCCGTGGGAAGGTTGGACAGAATTTTGAGTTGGGTGCAGTCTCCTTAAAATCTGCGTGCCCGGCCCGTCCACCCTCTGCTTCCACGCTGCCCCAGTGCCCCAGACATCCTTCCCGCGGCAGCCCGCACGCAACACCAGCACGGGGTAGCGTGTGTGAGCAGGACCCCCATACACCCAGGGACGCTTCCTTACGGCCTCTCGATGTCCCGGAGTTTTTTATGCAACATAAAACGTTTGCAAAGGGGAAACGCGAAAGCAACGAGATAAAAGTAAACGTAAGACCAAGTGTCGACTTATCCACAGCCAGCACCTGTGCGGGACGCCCTCCCCGGACGGTTGCAGTAAATCAGGGCGTCTGAATACTTGGGCGTATGGACTTCCTCGCACCCCGGACGAGCACCGTGGACCCTGTTCTGGATAAAGGCACACGAGCACGTACACAATCAGTCTGTGTGTCACCGAGGAAGGTTCCAGCTCCTAAGTACCGGCTTCCTCCTCTCCAGCCCCATCCCTACCGCTAAGTAATAAGTGATAATTGGTCCCTTGACATCCTGTCAGTGCTAATGTGTTAGGGAGCTCCTCTCCGTCTCTTATTCTCGGCTGAGACACGAGCTCAGAATCTTGTAGAAGTTGCTGCCTGACTGGGTCCTGCCCTGCAGGACTCACCCTGCCCCTTCCTTCCCTTCTCCGAGTTGTTTCCAGGGACTCTGTCACAAGGCGCATTCCCTTCCCCTGTCCCTTCTGGCTGTTCCACCCACAGAGAAACGAAAGAGCAATTAATTGCAGTTCTCAAAACGCTTAGAAGTCTGTTTTGCTTTGTTGGAACGTGAAGGCAGAGGAGAGAGCCCACGAGTCATGGAGCGAGCAGGGAAGCATCTTCGAACTTGGGTCCGGGAGCTCTGCTAATATGTTTTAATGAATAATGTACAAGCGAGCGACGGTCCTACAAACTACAAATGTTTTCAAATACGTTGTTTTATTTGATTGTCAGAGTCACCTGAGTGAAGGGCAGGTGCACGGTAGACGTACTTGAGAAGTTTAAGGCGGATGCTATCTATCCGTTACAAAGTCAGCGGATGAACTCGTCAGGCAGGTGGAGCGAAGGCGAGGATCTGACGTGACCCGTCTGCCAGCTCGTAATATCCCAGCACCGCTTGCTGAGTGCCTGTGGTTGCTGCACTTTTCAACATTTATTTATTTTTGGGACAGAGAGAGACAGAGCA